TATTATGTAGTAGTTTTAAATGTTATCACCAATAAAATACATACTAAATTAAAAAAATAATACATATTAATATAATAGTTAAATATATTGTAGAAATGATATCCATTTATTTTTTGGGAACCCATTATTTTAATATTATTACAACTACTATAACCAGAGTATTGCAACAAACTATGTGTGTACTATTTATATTTTAAAAACTTTTTGGTTTTTATTTTCAATCAAAAAATATTAAGTTTACCAATAAATTATATCTATTCTTGAATTGAAAAATAGCAATACATTTATGAAAAAATGCTAACAATTTGAGTTCTTGAAATCATAATACTTAAATTATGTTTTCAGAAAAAAATATAATAATAATATCCTAAAAAATTAATTTAAAAAAAATATATATAAGTTTTAACTGTTGATATCTCAATCGTATTTAATATATGATAATTATAAATATATAAAATATAAATACAGACTTGTAACTTTTCACACAATGTTTTAAAGCTTAAAGCTATATATTATACTATAAAGTCTATATTTTATACGTCTATGCGGTTACATAGAACGATTATATTGATACATCTTTATCTCTCAGAATAATAAATAAGTTCTATACGACTTATATATTACTATAAACAAATTGCTGTTGCCAAATGGTTCGAAATAAACTATGATATTAATTCCACTCGCTATATAATATATATATATACAGCGTGATTCTTTTATCAAACAACACTCATTATTTCAAAAAGTGTAAATTTTTTTGAAAATATTTTTTTACATAGTTTCAAGTCGCTTATAAAACAACGATTTTATTAAAAAATTATATTTTTAAATATTTTTTATCCTTATAATTTTTTAAGTTTTTTACTTTTTTGAATAGCAACATAGGGTTTTAATTTTATATTCCAAAGCAGAATATTTTTCTTAGTATTTTGATACATGAAAATCGAATTTGGGTTGAGTAGTTTATGAGTTATAAGTATTTAAAGTTTAGACGAGCGGAGTGGAGTGGTTCGGGGTTACCCCGCGAAATGTTTGTCCACTTCACCGCTCGTCTAAACTTTAAATACTTATAACTCATAAACTACTCAACCCAAATTCGATTTTCATGTATCAAAATACTAAGAAAAATATTCTACTTTAGAATATAAAATTAAAACCCTATGTTGCTATTCAAAAAAGTAAAAAACTTAAAAAATTATAAGGATAAAAAATAAATAAAAAAATAATTTTTTAATAAAAACGTTGTTTTATAAGCGACTTGAAACTATGTAAAAAAATATCTTCAAAAAAATTTACACTTTTTGAAATAATGAGTGTTGTTTGATAAAAGAATCACCCAGTATATATATATATATTACGAGTATTGACAATATTATGTTTGTATAGTAGTAATACAGGTTATATGATCTATATAAATCAAAATTTAAACTAATTAACTTGAATACTTAGGTCTCAATATGTTGATAACATATGCATTTAAGTAAGAAATCGTTTATTTACATACATATTTAATGGTATACGAACAAGTTTATTGCAAAATATCTATAGTATAATATGTAAATCATAGTTAATAAATAAATATCATTATTATTAACTATCGATGGGCTATGATTATTTGTATAATATAATATATTTTTTAGATTCTGAGTGGAACGATGAATGTATTGATTTTACAATGATGTGTGTTTTTTTTATTTTTTTTTGTGTCTGTCATCACGGTTTGGGGCAGTAAAACTGCTTCGATTTTCTTCAACACTATCTTTTTCGATGGGAACGTGAATCTAGTTGGTGCATTCGGGAGGTCCAATTTTAAAATTCCCTATAGTTTTAACGAGGAAAAAACAACATAAAAATTAAGGAAAAACGGGAATTTTTACGCAAAAAAAATTACGTTCAAAAATTGACAAAATATGGAAAAATCAAGAAAATTAGCAAATTATTTTGAGTTAAGAATTCGTAAAAATTTTTCTTTTTAAATCTTAGATTTTAAAATGTAATACAAGATTCCTTATAAGATGATCTACCTTATCAAAAAAAAATGTGTATAAGAAAGTCAAATCAAATTTTTATGAGAGTTTGAAATTCAAATTTTTACAACATTGGATATTCACTCGATTTCTCATGTAGCGATTTCTTTATTTTGTTGTAATTCAAAAACTAATAACTGTAGATACATGAAAATGTCACTGAATGTTTATATTAGCATTTACTACACACCATACAGTTTTGAAAATATTTTGACTCTTTTTGAGCTGTTTACGGACATTTTCAGTTTTCAATTTTTTTAGTTTTTTTTTCTATAAATATCAATTAAATTTTATCTGTTTGGCCAAAAAGTGTAAAAATTGAATCAAAGGCTCCTGCTATATTGTTACACTATCAGTTGAAAAATATTAAAAATACATAGACACAACTTTTTTTTTAAGCATTTAAAGATTGAATTTTGACAAAAACTTAGAATGACTATTTTAGTTATTTTGTTGTGATTGTATAATATTATTCGTGGGTACTTGAAACTTCTAAAGTACATTATTATATATTATCTATGATAGTATCAGGGTTTGTTGTTGATGTATAATGCGTTATAAGTACCTAATGGATATTGTGATATGATTAATTTGGAGTCTATTAATTATTATAGGTACCTATTATAGGTAAATTTTTTTTAATACCGTAGATAAGTATATAATATGTCTTATACCTAGACTGACATACCGTCTCTACTCAGAATCGTTTTTCTTATACAATGATATTATATCATTAGATTTAAATTTAATACCATCCATTATACAGACATACAGTGACCCACTTGTAACCTACTGTACAGCAGAGCACCTTTTTTTTTTAGTTTTTAGTTTAATTTTTAATCTATATTAAGCATAAACCACTATTATAAAGTTCTTTATAATCGTTTCATAAACATTTTGGAGACTGATTATATCTCATATATGATACTATCACCAACATGAAAAATGAAATTTAATTGAATTTTACATGATCCCCAACTTCTTCGTTAAAATGTTTATCTATAAGACTATACCTAACCATTATTCTCATTTAAAATCTAAAAATACAATAAACACATAACATGAGTATAAAATACTTATAGTATAGCTTTAAATAATATTTATAATATGTAACTTATTTATATTCATATTTTCTTATTATAAAA